CCTTTCTAAGCGCATAGCACCATGCATTTTCACTTTGGTATTTTTTTCTATTTGATGTTATTTGAAATGCAGTTAATATTAGTTTTACGCTGTACATAGTAAGATGTTTTAGTTCTTCAATTAGGTAACTTTTATTTAGGGAAGGTTCTCTAGGTTTATGCCTTGTCAAACTCTGTTCTTGACACGATGGAGTGGAGATAATTTTTGACCAAATAAGAGATATAACTTTAGTAAATGTCACCAAATTACTTCTGCTATTAGTACTTCCAATCTTTCAACAATTTGGTCAAAGATGCAGTCGACTATTTTATGCAAGTCTGTCCTTTTATAGACATAGTTCCATGCATCTAGTAACGTACGCAGGATTTTGTACATGTAGTGGCAACGTATTATCACTGCTCGACTTTTATGTGGTCTCGTGTCTGGGTTGTAGAGGTTCTTAGGCTTTTTCACTTGTTCAAAAGATGTTTTCTTTGCATTATTTTCAAGTGGTGTTGGATAACACCCGTTGTAGTAAGTTATATCCGCCCTGGCATGATCTAGGATGTTGCATATCAAAATGAATTCAATGACATGTTTTGCAGGAGGAATATATGATTGGAGATGAAATAGGAAGGTTGGACTGTGACCATGGCTATCATGTGGTGTGTGTACAACAGTGGTTGAGACACAAGAATTGGTGTCCTATTTGCAAATCTTCAGCAGCTCCATCACAGCCATCCACAACACCATCTTAGTTTCCATTTTTAGATTCCAACCCTAGATGTGGGAAAGCTCAAATAGTTTCCCTATGTACAAACTCATCAAGTTGGGTGGATTGCAACTAAAACCTTTACTTTCTGTTCATTGTTTGAATTTTTTTCCTTTTGTGTACATATACAGTTCTTGTCACATCAACCAATAAACCCAAGCCCCACTACAGGCTTTGTGGTGATAGCTGATAAACTTTGATTACTTTTTTTACTTAAATCCTTGTGGTTTTTGAAATTTACTTACTGGTGTTGTCATCTCAACTCAACTTCCAGATTTTGATCTGCTACTCTATCAAATGCAGTCCCTTTTCTGTTAGGAGAGAGGCTCAATGAGATAAGTTAATCGGAGTTCTGGAAATGCAGTCCCTATTCATAATTTGCTGTTCACATTTATTTGGTTTCTTTTATTGTTGGAAATTTATTGAAATTGCTCACACCATTTGAAGTTGTGGTCAATCTAGAACATTGGTTGATGAACTATCAATCTTAAATATCCAAAGTAGGCAGTCCAACCAAAAGTACAAAAACTAGACCTTCTAAAGGTCACTAGTCTGCTTTTATTTTTCTCTTTTTCTCCATGTAGTTGTTTGTGGTTCTCTTTCAATTAGGTATCTTGTACTAAGAGTGTATTGATAAAATGTATGCTTGTTACTACTTTCACAAGCAACTGAGAACTATACCACTTATCTACTTTAACCATATGCCCTTAGGTACGGCTATACCCAATATGGAAATCACACTTGAAAAGGGTGGAGAAAAAAATCATATGGAAAACAAGATAAGAACTGGAAATCACACTTGAAAATGGTGGAGAAAAAAATCATATGGAAAACAAGACAAGAATTCTTTATAGTTACACTTGGAACAATTGAAGGGATGTGGCGCAGCTTGATAGCATGTTTGTTTTGGGTATAAAGTCGCAGGTTCAAATCTTGTCATATCTGAACCCGAATATCCGGGAAAAAGCAGTATATTTGATGTAAGAATGGGGAATCCTTTTGTACAACTCATTTTAATAGGAAAGCCTTATATCTTGAAATTAATTCATCAAGTTGATGATAAAATCCATGATGTTCCAGTGGATATTATACGCTTGTTATACAACAACCCCTTAGAGGAGTAGCCAAACAGCGGAAACAAACTGTAGAGAAAATGTCTCGAACCAATATTCGAATATCAGGCGCTACGACACTGAAGTAACCCATGCCATTCTTCCAAGAAAAGCTCGAATGACTTTGAGCAAGAGGGTATATGTACTCGAAACCAACAGAAGTTGGGAGGTAGAAAATATCTAAGGGCGCGAGACAACTCTATCCAAGTAACTCAGCAAAATAACCCTGTAACTTTGGGAGAAAGGGTGCCTTCTCACAAGGGGGTCGCAGTGAGTGATTGTTTTCCAAAAGTACAGGTCTCCGCAGTCGTAAGACCATATACAACCGATGACGCTTACCTAGTGCCAGATGATATAATAATGCCCCATAGTAATGTTTTGGGGTTGTCATTGTATTTATAAAGCTGTACATAAGTGTAAGAGACAACAATACCCTTATTTAGAAGGGTAATATACAACAATTCCTAGGCTAACATGGTAAAAGATACATGTATATTATCACGCCCCCTCAATCGAGTGTGGGAACATGCGAAGATTGTCTCGAAGAGTCTTAAATCGATGAGAGGATAGGCCCTCGGTAAGAATGTCAGCTAGTTGGCGCTCCGTTGGAAGATAGCGAACAAAAATAGACCCAGAGGCTACACGTTCCCGTACAAAGTGAAAATCAACTACAAGATGCTTTGTACGGGAATGATATATAGGATTCATCGTAAGATATAAGGCACTTACATTGTCATAAAAGATGAGTGGCGCATCAGAGAGAAAAATATGCAAGTCCCGTAGCAGCTGTTGAATCCATAATACCTCAGCCACAGTGTGAGCCATGGCACGATACTCAGCCTCGGTACTAGAGCGAGAAACAGTATGTTGCTTCTTAGAAGACCAAGAAACGAGATTTGAACCAAAGAAAACCAAAGATCCAGTAGTAGACCGTCGAGTATCAGGACAACCAGCCCAATCAGAATTCAAATATGTAGTAAGAGAATCAGTAGTAATTGGTAACAACAACCCAAAATCGAGAGTACCGGCAATATAACGCAAAATGCGTTTAACAGCAGCAAGATGAGTGGAAGTAGGAGCATGTAAGTGTTGACTAGCTGTATTTACCGCAAAGGCAATGTCTGGTCGAGTCAGAGTCAAATAATGTAAAGCACCCACTAGACTGCGGTATAAAGTACCATCAACAACAGCAGAGTCCTCAATAGTGGCAGATCGAGAAGAAGATGTAGTGGAGACAGACTTGGACTATAGCAAACCAACACGATCAAGAATATCTTGAGCATACTTACTCTGAGAGAGATGCAAACCATTCACCAACCGAGTGACGCGTATACCCAAAAAATAATGAAGATCACCAAGATCAGTAATAGGAAACTCAGAGTTAAGTAATCTAGAAAACTAGGATATTAAGCTAGGATCGGAGCCTGTCAGTACGATATTATCCACATATAATAACAAGAAAAGATATTGACGACCAGATGAATAAAAAAACATAGATGAATCTGCATGGCTATTCTGAAACCCATGTGATAGTAGAAAGGAACCAAACCGACTAAACCATGCACGAGGCGCCTGCTTGAGACCATATAATGCCTTATGTAGTTTGCAAACATAGTCTGGTCGGACAGAATCAATAAACCCCTGTGGTTGCTCCATATAGACACATTCATGCAAGTAACCATTAAGAAATGCATTTTTTACATCGAACTGACGAATAGACCAACCACGAGAAATAGCAATAGAGAGTACTAGGCGTATAGTAGTTGGACGAACAACATGACTAAATGTCTCACCATAATCCACACCAGGTGCCTGAGTATAGACCTTGGCTACCAATCTCGCCTTACAACGATCAAGAGAGCCATTAGACTTCTGCTTAACTCGATAGACCCATTTGCAGCCAACAACATTAACACCAGATGGACGAGGAACAAGAGACCACGTCTGGCTTGCAAGTAGGGGATTGAACTCTTATGCCGTAGCATTCCGCCATCTAGCATCCTTAGCAGCAGATATGAAACAAGTAGGCTCAACATGCAAATTAGTCAAAGACATAGAATTAAGAGCATACTTTGGATTTGGTTTAACCACACCAAACTTAGATCGAGTAATCATGGGATGAGCTGAATCAGAGATTGAAGGTGATGGCTCAATATTGGAGGTGGATATAGGACATGAATCAGTACTAGAAAACTGCAAGGAAGAGGAGTCTAAGGAGCTAGTAGGAAGGGAAGATAAACTAGGAGATTCAACAGAAGAAGAGGGGGACACGAAAGTAGTGGCAGAACTAGTAGACTCGGGTGCAGTAGGCGTAGGACTAGGTAACGCAGCAGGCGTAGGGAGGAGAACACGGGGCACAAAAGGACGAGGAGGTAGAAAAGCAGATAAATTTGCATATGGAAAACAATGCTCAATAAAGCGAACAGAGCGACTAATATAGACACGGTTAGTATCAAGACGTAGACACCGATATACCTTGTGACGAGAAATGTACCATAAAAACACGCAAGGAGAAGAAGGAGAGTCAAGTTTGTGAGAACGATAAGGACGCAAATTAGGATAACAAAGACACCCAAAAGGTTTTAAAATGGTATAGTCAAGTGGAACCCCAAATAGGTTCTCATAGGGAGAGAGCTTAGTTAGGGAAGAGGAAGGAAGACGATTAATAAGATGAACAGTAGTAAGAAAAGCTTCAACCCATAAAGAAAGAGGGGCATGAGCATGAAAAAATATAGTGCGAGTAACATTTGTGATATGACGGTGCTTGCGCTCAACTACACCATTTTGCTGAAGAGTGTGAGGACAAGATAATTGATGATGAATACCATGCGAGCGGAGAAAAGAGATAAAGGAAGAACTTTGATACTCGCCCCCGCCATCTGAACGAAATGTCTTAATAGACCCACCAAATTGATTTTCAACAAGAAGTTTAAAATGGGTAAAACAAGATATGACATCACTTTTATGACGAAGAGGATAAATCCATGTGTAACGAGTGAAATCATCAATAAAAAGAACATAACAAGGATAACCACTAACTGAGGGCACGTGGGACTGCCGTACATCAGAATGAATTAACTCTAAAACATAAGAAGTAGTTGAAGTACTTAAAGAAAATGGCAAAGCCGAATGTTTATAGCTTAAACAAGAATTACAAAAAAAAGAAGAATTTGAAAAAGGCCTAGACAATGAAATTAACTTTCTAGATCTAAGTAAATCTACATGACTTGGATGCCCCAAACGCGCATGCCAAATAGAACTAGAGTCATGTAGAGCAGCAAAGGTTGATGGCTAAGCAAACGATGACATGCAGAGGAAGACTGAAAAGGATAGAGAGGCCCATCAGTGCGGGAGTGATGCAGAAATTTCCTCGTCGCCAAGTCCTTAACATGAAAACCCCAAGGAAGAAAGTTAATCCACTATTATTTTCGTTGGAAAATTGATGAACAGACAATAAATTCTTGCAAAGATGCGGAACATATAAAACAGGGGACAAACTAAAGGAGCAAGAAGGAGTAGAAAGAGAAGAAGAACCAACACCGTTAACATGAATACGAGTACCATTACCAACCAGGATGGAATCATTTGAAACAGGAGAAAAGGAAGAGAGATTACCCAAATCATTAGTCATGTGTGTGGTTGCACCAGAATCCAAGTACCAATTCTCATCTGGAGGGGACTGCAATGAGAGTGCTGCCATATTCGCCTGAAGACTAGGAGCAGTATAAGCATGGTTATGGCACTAAGGACAAGCAAGTGCCGTATGACCAGAAAGATCACAAATCTGACAAATCACAGTAGTAGAAGTGGGAGTAGGAGACACAAATGCAGGCAAGTGATAGGGTGAGGGAGCCAAGACACCACGACTAGAGGTAGAATGCTTGAAAGGACCTCCACAAGAAACTGGGGAAGGTGATGGGCTATAATGAAACTGTGAATTATTGCCATGACCATAATCTTGAGCACGACCTCGGCCACGACCACGACCACCTCCACGACCGTGAACGCGACCACGACCACGTCCACGTCCACGATATCCCGAGGAAGCTGAGGAAAGAGGATCAGCTACTGTAGCAACCAACGCTGTAGCAGGTGATACTAGATCAGGAGAAGGCAAAGTATGAGCCTCATGAGTAAAAAGCATCGTCCACAACTCAAAAAATTGAGGAGCAGGACGCATGTGCGAGTCCATGATCACAAAAGAGTCATAAGAAAACGAAAGCCCATTTAGAGCACATCGAACCAACTCAGAGTCATTAACACTACGGCCAATAGAATGGAGGCAATCAGCCAATTCCTGAATCTTAGACATATAAGCATCTGTAGAGAGATCTCCCTTCTTAATAGTATGTAATTGATGCTTGTACTGCATTTTCTCACTGTGGATTGATGGAGAAAGTGATTTTTTAATGGGTTCCAAGCATCTGCAACTGTAGAACAATGATATAATAGAGGAATAAGGTCACTGCGAATTGTTGCCTGAATCTAAGTAAGAAGAAGACGGTCTTGCTTTCTCCACGTAACAAAGGCAGGGTTAGCTGACTTGGAAGTACCATCAGAAGAAACATTAAATTTAGGAGGAGCTGATTCAGAACCATCAATGTGTCCAAACAAATCATACATCTCAATAACAGGTTGAATGAGATGTACCCACTTAAGATAATTAGTTTGATGTAAAAATTCAGGAACAAGATCCTTAATATGCACAGAAAAAGCAGTCTCAGCCATATTAATAATAAAAGAATATGTAGCAAGAAACGAGATTGAAAGAACTAAATAACGAGAGAAGGGCTTCCCTTTTTTTTAATATGAGAATTGACTGGAGGGAAAAAGAAAAGGTGAAGGACAATTCTATATCTAATGGGTTAAAGAAGAAAGGTCAAAAGTTAAGAAACAGTGAAGGAAATACGTGGGGCACACAAGAAAATTAAATAAGACATAAGTAAATCTGCATAGAAACAGTAGAAAGAATTAATTAAATAAGGCTTGAATAGCAAAAAGAAGACATAAGGAACAGAGAAGGAAAAAAAATGTGGAGAAAGCAAGAGATGCTTCAGCCGTAAATTGCAGTGACGGTCGACGCTAGGTAGGGTTAGGGTAGGATCTTTAGGCTTCTGATACCATGATATAATAATATCCCATAGTAATGTTTTGGGGTTGTCATTATATTTATAAAGCTATACATAAATGAAAGAGACAAGAATACCTTTATTTAGAAGCGTAATATACAACAATTCCTAGGCTAACATGGTAAAAGATACGTGTATATAATCACCAGATAGTCAAGAAAGTTGGTGACCAGATGACTTCACTGCTCCCCCCCCCCCCCCCCCAAAACCCCCAACCAAATGCTCTTCAAACCCTTGCTTGGATACATTGCTTTGCAACACACTTTTGCAAACTATTATCTCTAACCCTATGTATAGAGGTCTAAGAGAACTAGCGGTAAAGTACTACTAATGCAGTTAAGAGCTAACGAACAAGGTTGCAATAAGGACTATGTGCTTTCATGGCTCCTAACCCATCTCACCTAATTCAGAACCACTTGTTGATTATATACCATACTTAAAAAGAAGTTTTCTTGCTCCTCATTATATCTAATACTAGGTGGAGCTGATCCGTGCCAGCACTGGCCCAACATTATAAAAGTTAACCATTATTTTTTGTTAACTTTGTATTAATAAAAATGACAAAAAGAGACAGACAATATCTCATAACTTTATTTTGATATGAAATGACAGAGAAAAAAAATAAATACATGTAAAAGATTACATTATTTTAAACTATTGCATTACTTGCAAGCAGTTAGAGTTATATACTCTTTTAGATGAGTGAAAATAGCAATTACATAACTTTCGTGAGTACAAACTGGTATTTGCACTCATAAAACAAATTCAGATGCTTTGAGTTGTCTTGGCAGACTTTAGGTGCATAATACAGTTGCCCATACCAAAATCAAACATAGGTAATCATAATGAAGAGAGTTTCCCATACACATAGGTACGATATGGTTCATTTTAACAAAATATGCAAAAAATATCATAAGAACGGTGTTCTTTTTATAACTAATCCACAGCAAGGGCTACTGCATTTTTTTCAGCTTTGCTTCTTGTAGCTGCAAGGCTGTATCGTTATCTGTATTCTGTTGAAAGATAAATTAATTTGTAAAATATGAAGATAAACAGAGAAAAGAAAGAAAAGATATGTATCTATCAAACATCCAAAATCTACAAAAACTAAATAAAGAATGGGTACCTCTAAGGCGAAATTCACAGCATGCTGTCATAAATGTACACATGCATGTACAAATGCAGTTAATAATAGAAGCGGATGTGCAAAAATAACTTCAGGCAGCAGTTAGTTACTCCATAATCGGAGTGAAGTGGCCACAACGGAAGTTATGAAATTTGACACCAAGGATTCAAAAGAGAATATGCATAAGCAGAATCAAACAGTTTCTTCAAATTTAGTTGCTCTATTTTGTAACTAATCATCATAAAGTTACCATTCCCATATCTCTTTGTTTGTCGTCCCTACATCTAATAATCCCCTTGATCAAGAAGCTGGAATTATTTGATGAAAAGGTAAAGGATAACCATTAAATAGTACCGAGCTGGCTGAAAGAGTACATATGAGAAGGAAGAAAATGACTTTCTTCTATAAATTGAAGGAGTACAGAAGGTCTAATAGTGACTCAAAATCTGCTATAATATCCCTCCTACACAGAGTGAAAGAGTATTAGCCTAAAACCTTTATCTGAAAATAACATCTCCTATCACTGAACTTACATTGAGCTTATAAAATTCTTAGCAACTAAAGAAAGAATAGAGGAAGAAGTGTGCACATGGTTGTTTAAACCATAATATAGAAAAAAACATAAAGAGTATGTAATTATTAATATTAAGACGTTTTGTCATGCTTTTTAAGACCATAATCTGAAAAATTAATCACAAGTACTGAATCAATAATTTTACTATATCAACTCAAATAATAAGATAGGAAGAGCTCGGCAGCTAGCTTTATTCTAAAAGGAGTCTGAACAAAGAGATTAAGCAGAACCAAAAATGAGACTTTTAGTGGAATTCAAATGCACTCATAACTGTGACGACCACAACCTTTTATACCTCAAAGATAAGGGAGACTAAGAATGGAGGATTCAAGATATATCTAAAAGTGGACAACTTTCTTCTTTCTCATATGAAGGTTTAGTCCCTTCATTTTACATATGCGGATTTAAACATTGCGCAGAAAAAACACTAAAATAGGGGTTCCGTGGGACAATTTGTGAGAAGATGTTATCACCGGTTACTGACCTATGCTCTCCTTCTGTCCAAGCAATATGTACCTTGGTGCTGCTGCAAACCTAACCTTATAGAGTTTTGTTTACCTCCATCATTTTATTGTTTAATTTGCCTAAACTCATTCCAATACTTTGATAAGCATCATAATGTTCTATAAATCCCACACATGGGTCATCAAAGGGATATTGGCTAGAAATATGGTGATGTACCAAATAACACATTGCAGCATGAGTAATCCATAAAACCAGACACAAGCATCAGTATCCTTTGAGAGAGTATAACCAATTTATCAAAAACCCTGTTTCTAGCATTCTTTATAGGTGGCAACTAATTCTGACTTCAAAAATTAAGCAATTATTATCTTGAACAGAGGACTGAAACCCCCTTGACAGCTTATCACATGTTTATCCCTATCTTTTCCCGATAAAAAAAATGAATAAAATAGAAAAATTAAACAAGCACATTAATTTCTTCTCCGTTTATAGCATTCTTTATAGGTGGCAAACAATTGACTTCTCAATAGTCTGTGAAACTACTTTGAAGAAAGCTCAGTAGTGAAGGAAGTTCTCCAAGTGACTTTTACGTGCATGTTATATCACAAATTGATACAGCTAGGTTAAATGGAGTCATGTGAATAGAGGATAAGATTCATTACCCGATGGGCTATAATGAAACTAAAGTTTCAGGGAACAGCTCGAACAACTTCAGCTTGTCAGTTCTTTACACCAATGGAAATGGTAAAAGTCTGGCACAAGAGATCAATTTATTTCAAAAAAGTAGAAAGCTTTGGGCAAATAAGATTTGAGGCATACAGAAATTGAATTTAGGAATATACTATGATATGTTACTCTACAGTTGTCAATTAGAATCATACAATAGCCACGAAATTGCAAAATTAGAAAGTATGAAGAGAACCCAGAACAAACACCAAAAGAGAAGAAGATGAAGAATATAAGTACGAAGAGAACCCAAAAAGTGGACCCAATGTAAAGATTTTTCGAAAAAGATAAATGGGAGAGATAGATACAAATTAGGAAAAGATGAAGAAATTGTTTCTAAATCACATGTATAAGCTTTCATTTGTCCCTATGCCTCTAATGGTTAATTAAAACCCAGCAAGGTTAAAGTTTGAAAATGGAGTTTCACCATCAGTTTTCACATACACCAGCCATTGGATTGCGAAATTAAGATATATATAAAGCGAACCAAAAAAGATGCGGGTAGAAATTAAAAGAGGAACAAACGTATAGTTAAGCACACTCTTGAGAGCAAGAACACCAACACTTCTGAGAGAGCCTATGGAAAATGGAGAAATAAAGTACAATACAAAGAAAGAAACAATATCTGTGGCGACTTAGGAAGACAATTGGAACGATATGCACTGAACACGTAGAGTTGTGGAGGAATAGGTAAAAATTAAGAGACACGTAACTGGAACAACTATGTGAGACTAAAAGACTAAAATGCCCTCAAGCTTTGTAGAAAAGACACAAAACACACAGGTCAAAACCTGATCATTTCTAATATACTAGGTTGTGAACATGAAAGAGGTTTATGTTAAGGCCATTATATTTAATAAAGTCAAATGTATTTGCATTTTGCACAAACTTGAGTATTATAATCAAATGGACATTAGATACCAAGTTCATCAGACTATCTTCTATCTTTCATCTAAAGCTACCTACCACTTAAAACTAAAGAAGTGTGAAAGAGTAAGCAATGCACAATAAGTAAAATTAAAATGAGAACACTATATTCTGACAGAAACACAAAATGCTTCATAATACAAATTTGAAGTTCTATTCGTTGCCCTTTATTCTTCTCAAATAATTCAAAAGTGAATAACAGTGGACCTCTTATGATCTCCTAGTCACTCATGCATGTACTTACTCGTCTAGTTTGGCAAAATCGGATTTAAAGCTCCTACTCACTTATAGACTTGTGAACATATACCATAGGATCATCGTCCCTCTTTGCATTCACAATAATGAGCAAGTCCCTGCGGGCATAACTGCATAATATTGAATTAATTAGAATATCCTTAGAATCCTAAAGCAAGAGATCACCGGCAAAAATGCAAGCATACCAAGATTCAATAGGTAAGTTTACTACTTGGTACTATCCACTAAAGAATCAAGTTTTATCGGATGTCTAGAGGTTTACAAGATACATATTTACTAACTGTTCCCATATTAATGAAATGTGATGCATCGACTTGAAGGAAAACCAAGGCTCTTTGTTGTGATCTTCGACAAATACTTTGGGACCTGTGACATGATGTAGCCAAGGTAGGAATTATTGTCATAAGAATGTAGAAACAAAAGACAATAGAAAATGGCATATGAAAAGAGAAGTACACAAGTAGCTAGTAGTGTAGCTAATTTATGTATTTGAACTATAACTTTCAAGCAACATGTATTTCCATTTTATAATGCTATTTGTTTAATTTAGGACAAAAGTAGTTAAGAGGTATAAATAGAATACAAAATTTCAGTAGCATTTAATTTCCTACTCCTCCTGTTTCTGCTGCTACCTGAATCAACATGTCATAAGCTTCGATTTCCTACTACTCCTGTTTCAGCACATATCAATGCATAGTATCGACCCATCAATGGAGATGAAATCAATTATATTATATAGGGTTCACACTATATCTCGTGAAAGAAAGACATAAGAGGATGACCTTGAACAGTATTTTATCTTGCTTTCCCCTGGACCACAATGAACTGGTGTGAACTTCATTTGTCAACATTATTAATAATATTTTAGTAGAATGTCTTCAGTGGAAGCTCAAATTCTTCTTCAATATTCTCTTAAAATAGAACATGTTAATATAGGTTATGCGAAAAGCTAGGGAAAATGAAGTTGGTATAGTAGAACATATGAGAAAAAAGGCAAGCAGATGCATTTTAATGTAAACTTAAATAAGTGAGAATCCGTTGTAGATGAACTTCACAACAAATCTACTTCATCGATTTGAATTATATTGATCAAGAAGCGTAAAATATTTCGAAAGAAATGAAGAAGCTTAAAATTAAATCCAACAAACACAGAGTACATAAAGAAGAAAACGAAGAGGAATGGACCTGTCAGATTCTGAAGAAAAAACATGTCACGACCCTAAAACGGACCCGGTCGTGATGGCGCCTATCGTGAAACTAGGCCAACCGACCCAAACCTCAAAACCAACCAGACATTTATAATAAGTCATTTAAAACCATTAATTATCTAAAATCCCATAATATAAGTTAAAATAAACAGTGCGGAAACATAACACAGCCTGGTATCGGGGTGTCACCAGTCATGAGCAACTACAACTCGTCTCGGAATAAGAAAGGACAACATAGTCTGAAAACAAATGCTAATACAAAGCTGAATAAGATAGGAAGGAGAAGCACTGGGCTGCGAACGCCAAACAACTACCTAGTCAACTCCGGGGACCTGCTGAAAGGCTAACCAGCACCCGCTATCGCGATCCAAGACTCTTGGATCAGCACACAAGGTGCAGGGAGTAATGTGAGTACACCAACTCAGTAAGTAATAAAAGTAAAGGCAACTGAGCAGTAAGAAAACACGTAAACCACGTCATAACGCTACAACAAAACAGTATAAGTCCAGAACAATGCAGTAAAGTAATAAAACTCGTAAAAACAACTCAGTTCAGTAAAACCCTTTAAAACATCTTTCAATAGTTTCAAACGAGTGATGAAAATAGTGAGTAAAAGGATAGAAAATAAATAGCCCCTCGGGCATAATATCAGCAGAACCAGCCCCTCGGGCTACCTCACAATCACTCGTAATCAGCCCCTCGGGCAACAACATGAAACAACAAAATCCCCTCGGGCACTATCATATCACACACACTGGGTACCCGCGCTCAGTGGGGGTGTACAGACTCTGGAGGGGCTCCTACAGCCCAAGCGCTAACGTAAGCCATCTCGTGGCATAACAAATCAGGCCCTTGGCCTCTCATATATCACAAATCAGTACAACTTGCTGCGGCGCGCAGACCGATCCCATGATATTCTCACTACACAGGCCCTCGACCTCACTCAGTCAGAACCCACTCAAGCCCCTCGGGCTGACAGTAAAACAGGTACTCGGTTCAAAATATCATTTATAAAATCAAAAGGAGTAAATAAAATCCGAGTTATGAAATCAGTGAAAGTATAGCATGACTGAGTGTAAATATTATCAAAACAGTAAGGAAATAGTAGTAAAAAGCCCCAAAGGGTCCAAACAGTCGGCACAAGGCCCAAACACGGCATTCAGCCCCAAACATAGTTATATTTTTCAAAACACAATAATATTAAACAGTGTTCAATCAAATGCGCGACTTAACAGTCGTACGGGACGGACCAAGACACAATCCCCAACGGTACACGACCCCACGCTTGTCATCTAGCGTGTGCGTCACCTCAAAATAGCACAACATTGTGAAATCCGGGGTTTCTTACCCTCAGGACAACATTTATAGTCATTACTTACCTCGATCCGGTCCAAACTCTAGCCCGCGATGCCTTTGCCTCTCGAATCGGCCTCAACTTGCCCCGAATCTATCCAAAATCAGAATCATAATATCAAAAATAGGCTAAAGGAACAAAGCCCACGCAAAAATAACCAAATTTACTCAAAAATCCCAAAATTGGCCAAACCCGACCCCCGGGCCCATGTCTTGGATTTTGATAAAATTACATTACTAGAATTCTTATCCCCCACGAGTCTATACATATCAAGAACATCAAAATCGGACCCTAAATGGCCCCTCAAATTCCCAATTTACACTCTCCAATATCAAGCCCTAATTCCCCAAATTTAACCCTTGTTTTCCATTAATTTCAAGCCTAATCAGTGAAATAATGCCATGGAATCGAGTATTGAGTTCAAAAATCTTACCTCCAAGTGTTTCCCTTAGATTCCCTCTCAAAAAACTTCAAAATCGCTCAACAATGGTGGAAAATAGACCAAAAGATCGCGAAGGCAACTATTTAAACATTCTGCTCAGGCAATAATTCCTTCTTCGCCAACGCGACCACGTTCAAGAAGCACGAAATTCCATTAACCAATTATTCCTCCTTCACGAACGCGACATACTCCACGCGAACGCGATGCTTCAACCGTCCAGGCCTTCACGAACGCGACCTCACCTTCGCGAACGCGAAGCACAAAACTCCTGGGATCCCAGCTGCTCTGATTACCCTACACGAACGCGACTCCTCTCACGCGTTCGCGAGTCACTGCAATCCAAACCTACGAGAACGCGACCCCAGGCTCGCGAACGCGAAGAACAATTTCTTCTGCAACAAAAATCAGAAAATCTGCAACTCTCCAAAGCCAAGAATTGGTCCGTTAACCACCCGAAACTTGCTCGAGGCCCTCGAGACCTCAACTAAATATGTCAACACATCCATAACATCATTCAAACTTGTTCCAATCTTTGGAACACTCAAAACAACATCGAAACATCAAAGTATTATCGGATTCAAGCCTAAGAAATTCCAAACCTTCCAAATTCCGCTTTCGATCAAAAAGTCTATCAAACCTCGTCCGAATGACCTAAAATTTTGCACACACGTCCCAAATGACACAACGAACCTACTCCAACTTCCGGAATTCCATTCCGACCCTTATATCAAAATTTCCACTACCAACCGGAAAACGCCAAAATTCCAATTTTGCCAATTCAAGCCTAAATCTACCCCGGACCTCCAAAACACATTCCGATCACGCTCCTAAGTCCCAAATCACCTTACAAAGCTATCCGAATCATAAAAACCAAAATCCGAGATCATTTACTCACAAGTCAACTTCCAGTTGACTTTTCCAACTAAAAGGCCAACTAAAGAGACTAAGTGTCTCATTTCTCTACAAAACCACTCCGAATTCAAACTAACCGACACGATGAGATGAAATACAACTGAACAACACATAAAGAAGCAGAAATGGGGGAAACGGAGCGGTAACTCATGAAATGACCGGCCGGGTCGTTACATCCTCCCCCTGTTAAATAAACGTTCGTCCTCGAACGGGTCAAGAAACATACCTGAAGCCTGAAATCGGTGAGGATATTTGCTCCGCATCTCCCGCTTGGTCTCCCAGGTAGCCTCCTCCACGGGCCGGCCTCTCCACTGTACTTTCACTGAAGCTATATCCTTTGATCTCAACTTTTGAACCTGACGCTCCAAAATAGCAACTGGCTCCCATCATAAGTCAAATCACTGTCTAACTGAACCGTGCTGAAGTCCAAAACATGAGACGGATCGCCAATATACTTCCGGAGCATAGAAACATGAAAGACCGGATGCACACTCGACAAGCTGGGTGGCAAAGCAAGCTCATAAGCCACCTCCCTAATCCTTCGAAGCACCTCA